TATATATATATATATATATATATTTGTGGAAACTTTAACACGTAACCATGAAGGGGCAATATCAGTCAGTGCTAAATAACGATAATGTTTTGCCAATATATATGGTTGTAATCATTTTACCACTTATTGCATAAACAGAGTATGCTGACCTTTAAAGTGCTGTAAGTGGAACATAAAGTCCTTTGTGTATCATACTGGGCAATGTCCCCTCCAACTTTTTCAATCCTTGTGCGGAATAAATTTTTTCATTAGGCCTCTTTGCAATGCTGGGAAGTTGGTTATTTGGGCTTTAGGCCTATCGAATGCAGGGTCATTATGGTCGCCAACTTGTTGATGATGTGATTGAGGCACTTGATTGGTTGTTGTTCGGCCGCAGAGGGGAAATTGATACTGGCCCACTTGATTTTTTTTTCTACACTTAAGCTCTATCCTCATTAAATGCGTTTAAATTCTACCCATCCTTAGTATATGTTAGTTATTTTCTTATTTTTTGAAATACTTTTAATGATTATAATTAGTATATAATTTCATAGACATATAGTTTTAATCTTTTCTCACATTCCGAGAATCAGGTTTAATTCTGAAGTTTTTAGATAGCAGTGATCATCTTAATACATTGAGGGCATTAAATTAGATATCGTTAAATTTAAGTGAATTCCGTGTCATGATAAAGCTTATCATTTTCTAAGAAGATCATTGGAAAGTTAAACATAATCTTAGAACATGTAATCTTTTTTTTATTACAGCAGTTAGTGAAATACGTACGTATTTGTTTCTCTCTTAAGATATTGTCTGTTATATATATAAAGAAGAAAAAAAAGATGTTACATTTTTTTCAAGATTTACTGTTTTAGAGGGTTGTTTGATTATTTCTGGTACAAAGATTTATTGACGAGTACATTGCGTATTATCTTATCAAACAGTTTGATTAATGACCCTGAAATAAATATAGACGAGTCTACTACGAGAACACCTTCACCGAACTGGACAGATGAGTTCTAGTATTGAATGATAATTAGAATGAGCTTTGAGATATACGTTTACACTTGCACGTGTGTATTCTTTCATCTTCTCAATAATGGTCAGCGCCCCTAGTGGCTCAGCTATAAGCTCAAAGCTTATAACGCTAACATTCAGAGTTAGATCCCTGCGGTAGACATAGCTTTGTACATAACAACCAAACACTGTGTTAAACTATGAAATACAAAGATGTTTCATGTTTTTTTTTTTTCTCCTTTTATTCACTCTCAGTACGGTTTATACGGAATATGCACAGTTTATCAATTAGATTTGGGCAACGTATTATCAAAAGAAAATAACGACGTCGTGACTTTCTTCATTTTTGTAATATCATTAAACTTGATGTTTCTGGTAAACCACTAGGTTTAAGGTTGTGGCTTATGTTAGAAATATAGGCAGCACTTTTGTTTGAAATAATATAATTGATACTCTCAAGCAATAAACTAATCACTCTTTTGTAACTCATGTAGAAACCTACTTTGTAATTTGTAAACTGGGAAAAAACTTTTTGTTATTCTTACAGCTCCACAAAATTGACTGTACATTCTTCATCGTTTAAGGAGTTTTCTAACCCAAAAGTCCGCTTTGATGAAGAACTGCAACTTACTGAGCACAATATTCGTCGATCATGCCGAAAACTCTTCGCTACACTGTATGCCCAGAAATCTGCAACCCTAAAACCTGAACCAAAAAATGGACCTTTTCTTCCCAGCCAGATAGCAAATGTTTCAAGCATGTCAGAAACAAAACAGCCAAATCGAATTGCAGATAATTGTAATTCCATCTGTTCCGAGATGAATCGGACGTATCCTTTCAATAAGACACAAGGAACTTGTGGCTTAAATTCGCTCAGGATGAAAACTAGCAGTTACACCTTGCCTTCAAAAACTACTGGCCCTGTGTTTAGGGCATCGTGGAGCCATGGCGTAGATGTCAAGAAACAACCTGGTCATAAAATCAGGCCTCGCCTTGGACAACAACTCAGTAACCCATCAGACCTTAGTTATACGGGAAATCTCTACAATAGTAATACGAACAAAAACATAGTCGTTTCAGAAAAAGATACGAATGACGTCAAAAGTCCGCCACACAGTGATATTTATGTAGGAATACCCACTACAATAATACAGAAGTCAAAAGATGTCAATAAAAAAACTTCTTCTCCAACAACGACTAAAAGTTTCCCGACTCTTCAGACAATAACCCAAGAGAATTGCCATGAATCTAGTCATATTTCGAATAAATCATCGCGTGCAAGCCAAGGCGCAGGCCATCGGTGTTCCAAAACTACTTTATTTAAAAGTAGAAGTTGCACAGCTTTGTCAGGTGAATTAAGTTTACGTACCGTAAATTTTCCTTCGTTGGATTCACCCCTTTCTTTTCATCAGGGAAAGGAACGTCCTTCGTTGGATTCATCCCTTCTATCTCATCAGGGTAATGATGAACTAATGGTGTTATTGTCTTCTCACGCGGCTGAGGACCACCATGTGTCCAAGGAGAAAAGCCCGTGTAGTACTCTTGTTGTTAAGAAGGTTCATCTGGACAGAGATTCTGACTGTGTGCTTTACAGCGATGACATGATTCGAGTCTACGCTCGTTTAGCTTCTGTGGATCCCGAAGGAACAACAGTACAAGAAGCGACAACTTCACAGGCTACGTGCAACGCACTCAAGAGTGATAAAACCTTGCGACGTTCTTTGAATGCAAAATCAAATTATTCTCAAGTGTCGGAATATGCAGATTACGCACGTGTGCTCGGAGATCCTGGAAACAAACAAGCTCTTCATAGTGAGAGTCATATTAAAGGATTTTCCTATCCTGAAACGATTAATACACATGATTCTGTCCTCGGTAGAACTGTGCCAGAGCTGTTAATGATAGCTGCTGCAGAACACGTTCAATTGGGCTGTATTCCTAAAGGACAAGAACAGAGAGTACTCGTGGGGGACAACACAGGAGCAGGGATGGCTAACTCTGCGTTAGGTTCTAGTTCTGCTGTTCCAGTGGTCACTCAAGGTAATAATTATTGTGCATGTCTTATATTAGTTGCAACTAAACTTTCTTAAATTTGATATTTTAGAATGACAGCTCTTTAACTTATTTATTTTGTTTTTCACCATTTTGGCATAACATAATCAAACGTTTATATATATATACACACATATATATACAGCATTCGAAATAATTGTGAAAACAGTGAATAAAATAATATAAAATGCAATGATAAAATTGTCCCTTTCTCTTTCATAAATATAGACTGCACTAGAATACAGTCACAAGTTGATAGTTTACACTGTGATTGGCTATATCCAACCAATCAGACAGCGCCACACCATCCTAATGCTTATAATATTACAAGCAGCCATACTATTCCAAGCATAAGTGTGGTAAATGTAGATAGCTCCCAGGACAGAATGCCATACTACGAAAGTTGAACCCATAGTTTTGACTAGTGAACGATAATACACCTTAGCTAAGCATTGGGACGAAATTTCGTGTTTCTTTAGGAGCAGGCCCTGCATGGCCATGTGGTTAAGGCGCTTGACTCGCAATGTGAGGGTTGCGGATTCGAATCCCTGTCCCACCAAACATGCTTGCCTTTTCAACCGTGGGGGTGTTATAATGTGATGGTCAATTCCACTATTAGTTGGTAAAAGATTAGCCCAAGAGTTGGTGGTGGGTGGTGATGACTAGCTGCCTTTCATCTAGTCTTTCACTGCAAAATTAGGGACGGCTAGCCCAGATAGCCCTCGTATAGCTTTGCGCGAAATTCAAACCAATTAATCTTTCTTTAGGAGCTGTATGGAAACTTTGAATATGATACGGTTGATAATAGACGTTGTCGAAGTAGAAATTTCAAACTCTTCAAAACTGATATCCAATCACTTATAGTATGCTCTTTTACACGATGTACGACATTCCAGTAGCGATCTTGTCAATGACCATTCTGTAATTACTGGTGTGAATTTTACCTCCAGAATAATAATAGACACATTAACACGAAATGGCCTTAACGGTTATGTGGCTGCTCAAAACCCCATTCTTAGGAAATATAACCAAAAGGCTGAAATTGGCATCAGACTTCAATGTGAGGATGTTAATCATTACAGATGAATCCAAATTCATATTGGTTGGTTACAATTAATGATATCTTGTTTGATGGCAGAGAGGGGAACGGTATTATGATCAACGTCAACAACATCCACATTAAAGCATGCTGGGGAACCTATACGAGTGCGGACTGAATATTAGCCAATGATACTGCAAATAACATACAGCTGATAGCACACTGACTGCTGACGAGTCAACAAATTATTATTATTATCCGTCATGCAATTTGTCCGGGAACAAGAAATGTGGGACAAGGATTAATCTTTATACATGGAAGAATATAGGGCCGATGGAACACTTGCAACCATGACTTGGGCTTATACCAAAACTAATTAGGCCAAACAGCAACCAGTCAACTTAGCTGAAGTGTGGTGGATGATACAGGACGTTTGGAACAATATTTCACAAACACTCATTGATAAGAATTGTGGTAGCATAAAAACAAGTTGTACTACTCAGTTAAAGCAAACACAGAATCTTAGTGCCTTGTACTGCGTATTCGTTTCTCTTTTGTATGTTTTGTAATAGTGATAGATTGACCATTTAGTTGCTAGTTTTCATTGTTTGTGACTCTTATATATGTATTATGCGTTTCCACGATTATTTTCAATACTGTATAATATATATATATACACACATAAACATATATACAGCAGTTGTTTTATTGCAATTTTATTTATCTCTCTTATCCAAATAATGTTACCATGTATAAGAATATTAAATCGAAATTGAAAGTTGGAAAAGTTTGAGTTGTTTGAAGTTAAGCACAAAGCTACACAATGGGCTATCTGTGCTCTCCCACCACGGGTATTGAAACCCGATTCTATCCGCAGACATATCGTTGTGCCACTGGGTGGCAAGTTGGAAAAAGTAATGTTCGTATTTTTTTACGCTTATCTGATCATTGTACGCTCTTTTTTTCAGTAGTAAGTGCCTTCTATCGATGGCAGTTTCATAATAAGTCAAAAAACATTCTTCAATTGTTTCGTACAGAAACAAGTTCAGAAGACATGATTAATTAAGCTATAATTATACATCTCTGTATGGTTTTGTCTTAACAGAAGACAGACAGCTAAGTAGTGTATACAAGATTTTCACGGTGTAATTATGAAATATAAAATTAATTTATTAAGGCTAACCCTTTGACAACCGTTAGTCCAGTCATACGGTGTATAATTAACGTGGTCAGTGTATACTGCAATGTAAATAATTATGCGTTTTCAGAAAGATCAATACATCATCCTGTTATAAGTTCTGGCTTATCAACCACAATTTATTCCCGTTTTACTGATATCTTTGGGAAATGAAGAACGAGAAAGTTAAGAGGTCTTTTCACGCGTTTTAAAATATCGTAAATTTTATAATCTGACAGGATTTGTTGTTATCAAGTCGAGTCATCGTTCTCGGGCTTAGCATACAACTGTAATAAAATCACTCAAACAGATACCTTTCGAAGACCTTCACTGTACCAGCTTCACGTGATCAGATTGTTGTGCTTGCTTCTAATCCTCGACTGGCTGAAAGTGGTTTATAGGCACGTTTATCAGTTTGCTGTCAACAGAGATGGATGCGACTTAAAAGGTTTTAGTTATTTTATGGGTTTTATATTACAATAACTGGAAAACATTTAACGACCTGTTTGTCATTTTTGTATATTTAAGCTCAATGACTTAATGTTTCAAGAATATGTTTATGTTTGACCACTCAAGTTTTAATTAAGGGAAGGATAGTTGTTTAAAAAAAAACTACGTGCTGTTAGCCATGTAAAGAATGTAGTGATCTTACATTAACATATACACGGAAATATTAACATTTCAATTATTACAAGTTTGTTTGTTTGTTTTGAATTTCGCGCAAAGCTACACGAGGGCTATCTACGCTAGCCGTCCCTAATTTAGCAATGTAAGACTAGAGAGAAGGCAGCTAGTCATCACCACCCACCGCCAACTCTTGGGCTACTCTTTTACCAACGAATAGTGGGATTGACCGTCACATTATAACGCCCCCACGGCTGAAAGGTCGAGCATGTTTGGCGATTATTACAAACCAGAACAATCGGGACACGCATGTAGTTTATGTGGTACCAGTGGGTGTTATGAAATATAAAAAAAAACAATTAAATAGCATTATTTCCAACTTCAGTAGCGTAAAATCACTCGTACAGATTAACATTACGTACAATACTTTTAGCATGTTGAAGTAAAGATAAAGAATATTTATAGGAATACTATATTATCAAACTATAATACGTTTTCACAATTCAGTGTTTCATCGTCTAACTAAAACTTTTTTTGTGTGGTTATTGTTTCAATGTTTATATGTAACAACTGCAATAAAACATCTAAAAGTTTATACGAAACAGGTCCAAAACTTTGCGTTTTTATTATTTTTGTGTAGCTTCAATCCCAGTCAAAACAGACAAGATGGAATCACCTGAATATGCCGTAGTTGACAAGAGTAAAAAGTCCCGTCGTTTACAGCGGACCGCATCCCTTTCAAGGGTAACCAGCAGCCCTTGTATCTCGAATAGTAAAGGTGGCTCCCCCTGTGAAGAACAAGAACCACCAGTACCTCCAAAAATATTCATGCATAGAAGGCACGTAACAGTTCACATTAAATTATCCATAACCCATGACTTCCGTATTTTACTTATGTCGGTAAAATATTGGATAGAAGTTAAATAAAAATGAAAACTAATTGTTTTCCCGTATTCCATTTGCATATGTAGAAAATTTTTGATTTTTACAAAACGAGAAACTAGTCAAATAGTTGATTAATTCCTTTCTCAGACGACTAATTATTACTCTGTCAGCAATCAATGATGTCTAAACATCATAAAGACCGTACAAATGTGTTACAAAAAGTTATCTAACGTTTTTGTTTCTATTTTCCAAGTATTTAAAATGCAACTTTTTACGCAAATTATAGTCTTCTTTTCATTAGTTTTGCTATATGTGGTCTGTCGATAACGTCCAGTTACATTTATGTAATTTATCTTTATGCCCTAAATCTAGATTTTGTTTAGATGTAATTTATCATAGTTTACTCAATAATGTTTAATTTTCTAGATTCATTATTTTCTTTTCCTAATCCAGTGACTTTGCTTTATACAAAGAAACATCTTCTTCGAAAAAATCGGTCATTGAGCGTGTTCAGGGATTTACAAAATCAGCCAAGAGCGCTCTCCAGAGGGCATTCAGCACAGAGCGCATCTACAGAGAAGAGAAGCTTGAAACTACCCGTAAGCCACGACGATCTCAGTCTTTCATTAAAGTTTTGAAGAATCGTATGAGTATGAGAGGGGTCAAGGGAAAAACATGGAATATCAGAGAAACCTCCGGTCATGCTTCGTAAGTCGTAGATTAATATTATTGAGGTAGAATTTTCTTTACGTCTTGGTGTATTTGTTTCCCGAAATCCAGCTGAACAACAACTACAACAAAAAAGTTGTAAATTTGATTAGGATACATGTCATGATCTTTCACTGGGTGTATTGGTTAGACCGTTAATGCACCAAACCACTCATAGTTTTGTAATATACATTTCGTGACACCAGACGTTTTAAACTCGTGTCGTGTGAATAGAAATTATAACAGACGAAATGAGTACAGTGTGAAATTCTGTGTTCAGTATGCTAAATAATGCTGAAATGACTATCAATAAGTGTGATACTATAAAAAATAATATTAGGTCGTCAAGAAATGAATGTCGCTTTTTTTTAGATGAAAAAACCCGAACAACTTATATATCGAAACAAACCATTTATTAAATGAAATATTCTTCATTCTTATCGATGATGCTTTTCCATCTTACAATCAGGTTGATTATGCCCCGATTAAAGAAATCACTTGGGTTTGTAGCAAAAAACTGTCGATGTTCTCTTTAATACCTTCCACATTTGCATAAGTTTTCCCAATAAGATGGTGATACAGCGAACAAAAAGATTGTAATCTGATGGTGCCATATCTGGAGAATATGGTGGGTGGGGGGGAACTTCCCAACCAAACTCAGTAATCTTGAGTTGCGTCAAACGTGCCA